AAGCACCAAGTCCTTGGATTGATTCCCTAGGTTGCCCCTATACTACATTAGTGGGGACTAGGTTTGTTGACTTTTGTGCGACCATAAGCCTTTCAACAATAGTACACACACCCTATCAACAAATTTTCCCCTATATTTTTTTGGCAGTCTTGGTTTATTGTCCTGAAAGGGTGTTTCATTAATTCATATATATAAATAATGACTTTTCTTTTCTTTGTCTGATGTAGGTAAAATCATATGAATTCTCATGTTCCTTTAATGAGATAGCGAGAATGTTATTAGACAGGGACAACTACAACTCATTAACAACATGCATGACTTGTATTTGCAGCCTCTAAGGAGCTTATCACTCGTGAAATGTTTAAGGCGTGTACTTAGCCAGAGGTACCACATGCTGAGCTTAAAGACTGTTCAAATTTTAAAGAAAGAGGAGATGTCATTGCACCAAAGGACACAAAGCAGGAGTAGAAGGATGCTATTTGGAGGCCATGGCTAGGCCATGATTTTTTAGGGTGTTTTTAACATTAGTAATAGTAGTAGTATCATTTGCATTATGCTTTGTATTAGTTCGTTTTAATTCATGTCTGCATTTGTTTAATTTTCAAATTTTCATTGAAATTATTCTAAAGATGTCTTCAAAATATATGAATTGAAAGTTTGGATTGTCATTTGTGTTACGAACATGCTTGAACATTGATTTTCTTGTCTCATAATTATGCTTATAGTTGGGATAACTTGTGGCATACATATATTGTGAGATAGTTTAGAGTGATTGCATTGACTCAGTCTTTGTTTAGTGTAAGAGTATGACCAAATTTTTGAATAGTTGAGTGTTGTGAACTTGAGTGTAGAGAGCTATGGAGAAAACAATTATTTCCATGAATTTTATATTTTCCTGATTCTTGATAATATAATCATTATTTGACATATGTATTTAAAGCTACTTGGTCAAATAGCTAACCTTAATATGTGTTATCCAATTGTTAACTTTTTTTTATCCTAAATGTGTCATTCCTTTACCTTATCCTTTTAAGAAAATATATCTTGACCCATTCCTTAGCCAAAGAGAATAGGTAAATGTTGAGAAAATAAAGATTTGTGATCAAATAAATTTGGGGTAGGATATTAACACCCTACTATGACATAAGATTGAAAAGTTTAGGGTAAGGTATTAATAGCATACCCAAGGGTTTGTAATATGATTGTTAGAAAGTTTTAAAAGCCACTTGTTTATTATAAAGAACAAAAAAAAGAAAAAAAAGAGAGAAAAGCCAACAAATAACATGTGGTGTTTATGTTTATTTTTTTTGTCTTTTATTAGTATTTAGATAAATAAGGTTTTATTTAATAATTTGGANTTGGGATAACTTGTGGCATACATATATTGTGAGATAGTTTAGAGTGATTGCATTGACTCAGTCTTTGTTTAGTGTAAGAGTATGACCAAATTTTTGAATAGTTGAGTGTTGTGAACTTGAGTGTAGAGAGCTATGGAGAAAACAATTATTTCCATGAATTTTATATTTTCCTGATTCTTGATAATATAATCATTATTTGACATATGTATTTAAAGCTACTTGGTCAAATAGCTAACCTTAATATGTGTTATCCAATTGTTAACTTTTTTTTATCCTAAATGTGTCATTCCTTTACCTTATCCTTTTAAGAAAATATATCTTGACCCATTCCTTAGCCAAAGAGAATAGGTAAATGTTGAGAAAATAAAGATTTGTGATCAAATAAATTTGGGGTAGGATATTAACACCCTACTATGACATAAGATTGAAAAGTTTAGGGTAAGGTATTAATAGCATACCCAAGGGTTTGTAATATGATTGTTAGAAAGTTTTAAAAGCCACTTGTTTATTATAAAGAACAAAAAAAAGAAAAAAAAGAGAGAAAAGCCAACAAATAACATGTGGTGTTTATGTTTATTTTTTTTGTCTTTTATTAGTATTTAGATAAATAAGGTTTTATTTAATAATTTGGAAAACATAATTATTTGGTTTATATTTTACAAATAAGTGGAAATCTCATAGATTTAAGAAGATTATCCACATAATTGGATAAATCAGTTATTAAAAGAATTGATTACTTCAAATACAAAATCAAGTACAAGTTTTAGGCTCAATCTAATTTGAGCTCGTTCATCTAATGAACCAAATGAGTTTGTCAAGCAAGTAGTGTTTATCTTGTAACTCTCCAAATTTCAGGATGTTATGGGTTATTATAAAAATCGATAATTTTCAAAACTTTCTTATAGCGCGGAAACGTATATTAAAAACCTCAACATTTAAACTTGTATCGCATAATAGTTCTAAAATACTTGTTCAGTTGCATTATTTAAATAAAACCAAAATAAAGAAGGAAATAAAATAACTCCAATTACATTGTCTTAAAAACTTAATTGCAATTGCTTTAAATAAAACTCCAAGTCTGGCCCCCCTCATCTCACGGATCTATCATGCTTTATCTTCATTTGTAGCATCATTTGCTCCCGTATAACATCACACATTATACGATCATCACATTCACATACACAAACACAAATGTGTATTGGGTAAGCTACCAATAAAACAATCATAATAATAAGATATAAACACATTGAATATATCAACCATAACAACCTCCTCATACCCAATAGTAATAACAATAAGATCCCTGAACCTTTAACACAACAAATCAATCATGATAAATTACTAAATCCTCGAACCCCGATCCTCGATCCTCGATTTCTAACCCTTGATGTCATCACTAACAACTCACACATAGACTCTTGGTCTATCCACTCATTAACAGCTATGCTAACTACTTACTATACTCTTATAGTAACATCACTATCACCTTGAGCATCTCAAATACCTTGATCACCATCATAGATACACCACCATCATGACTATCCCAATCATGAACAACACCATGAGCATCACCATACCATAAACACCATAGTGGAAAGAATCAATCACACTCTTGTACCCTACCTCACCGACTGTAACTGCTCCTACAACCCCATATGTAGATTCACTATACAGATACATTTGTGTAAGCCCGCAATCCAATTAAGGAACATGTAATCCTGCCACACAAGGACAAGGAAGACACCTTCACCCCCACACAAGGAAGGCTCAATACCCGAATAACTCTTCCAATGCACACAAGGCAAAAGGAAGCACATATCTGTAGATAGCACCAACATTTACTAGGTACAACAAGTAGACATATCCTCCACTCTCATGCTCATCAATAACATACTCATGTACATTACAACACTCATTCATACTCCAATTCACAATCACAAGTAAAAAATGACCCTAAACATGCCCATTACTCTCATTCCTTGAGTACCAACACATTTCACTGCTTCATAGGCTTGAACCACGTCCATTCTTCATCAAATTCGCCAATTTTTACAAAAATACATTGTGGTAATCGATTATCACTTTTGATTATCAATTATGTCAGTGATAATCACCTAGAAACATCACGCAAGAAGGGATAATCGATTATTCCCGTAGCCAGACTCAATATCAACGCGCAATAATCGAGTATCACAGTGATAATCGATTATCTACGAAACAAAACACATCCTGGATATAATTCAAGTCTACACCTCCATAATTTAATTTCTGCACCATTTAATGAGGATAAAATGACTTGATTGCCCTTGGTCCCAAAATACAATTAAAATTAAAAGTTTAACCTAACTCTCTTTCTTCCTAGAATTTGGCCCACACATATTTAATCCAAAATCACCCTCCTATCATCAATCTAACACATCATATTGGTAACAACACATCACACAAATCATTCAATAATAATATAGCAATCATATGTTCTACTTAATCAATAATAACATTAAATGATAAACATAATAATTATATTTTTAGAAAACAATTAATCATCAAACACAAATTATCAAACAATCATTGGCGTCCACGTTATTTCCTAATTACCACAATTATTTCCTAATTATGAAACACCAATTAACTCTCATAACCACATTATTTCATTATTACCACAATTTCTTAATCGTCCGACGAAATGTACATTTAGAAAATCTATAAATAGAAGACTTGACACAATTAAAATTTAACCTTTTGGAGAGAGAGAACTTACTCTAAAAGGAGCGAGAGTAGATACTCATTCTGGAGGCTGAAGGCATTGTTCATTATTATTTTCTAGTGTTTAAAATGTATAAGAGTAACTATAACTCCCTTAGTCACGAAGTTTGACGTAATGTATCTTCTTTGTAATTTTTACTATCCAATATATTTACTTTTCTATCATTCTTGTGTTTTATTCTTATTCTTAACTGCATGATAATTGATTGATTATATATTTGTAGTATTTGTTTACTTTATAAAGTCACGATTTTTGTAGAACTAAAAGAAAATTTATATTCAAATTTAAATTATATTAATTTAAATCATTTGACTAAGTATGTGAATTTGAACTAATTTATCAAAAACGGACTTGAGATCTGGTTTTGAAGGAAAGGTGCTGTGCGATTGGGTAAAAATAGGATCTACATTAATTAAATCTCTTTTTCTAGATTAGGTGCACGTCTATGATTTTGAAACTTCTACGTGGTTATAATAAAATAAGAACGACTAGTTAAACTTCATTAACTAAGATTCGAAATTTCTTTCCTTGAATTTTCTATGTTAACTATCAAGTAGCTACCGATTTAGTCAAACGATGCATCCATTGTGCATTCCTTTGTCATTACTCGCTTTAGTTGGCCTACAAATATCAATAAACCACCCCGTGCGGACTAAATCAATCATTAAAGTACTCGTTTTCTACGATATTTTTATTTCTGCATTAAACCTACTATGTACTTTTCTTCAAGGTGAAACGGTCTTTCTCATGGCTCAGTCCACAAATTACATGGTATGATACGGTGCAGTTTAATTTATTGGTATTTCTTCACCTGCTCCAGTGCCTCTATAAATACAACAATGGGGAAATAGCAGTTAATCCAAACAAATTCATATACAACTTGATCAATCACTCATTGCATATTAACATAGAATGGCATTGCGTGGATATTACTTCGTTCTTCTTCATGCCCTTGTGTTTGCTGCTCTTGCAACCTCAGCCTTCTCAAAATTGTCATCTCATTACTATGACTATTCTTGCCCCAAAGCTTTGAGCACCATCAAAACTGTCGTCGAGGCTGCAGTGCAGAAAGAACGCCGTATGGGAGCATCCTTGACACGCCTGCACTTCCATGATTGTTTTGTTAACGTAAGACAATCTATGCATCCACATACATGCACTCGAATAAACACATCTTAAAATACCAACAAGTGACTGGTATAGCACTGAAATTAGTTTCAGTATTCTGAAAGAAAAAAAGATAGTTCTGAAAATATTACATAATTAATGCATGTTTTTAGAATGAGTCTGATAAATTTTAGTTCGTTCTGTGAGAGTGATTTCAGGGCTGCGATGGTTCAATTCTTCTAGATTCAACATCCTCCATTGACAGCGAGAAGAATTCAAATGCTAATTTCCAATCTGCTAGAGGGTTTGAAGTGGTGGATGAGATCAAGCAGGCTGTGGACGAAGCATGTGGGAAACCTGTTGTTTCTTGCGCAGACATATTGGCTGTTGCGGCTCGTGACTCTGTCGTTGCGGTGAGTAAAAATAGTTAATTATAACTTCTTAACCACGACTTTTACACGTCGTGTTTACCCATACAAGAAAGAGTGTGCTTAATGTTTTGACTTAAATTAATCTGTTCTCAAAATTTATTAAATGAATTATGTGCATGCATGATGCAGTTAGGTGGGCCAACATGGAAGGTGAAACTGGGGAGAAGAGACTCCACCACTGCAAGTCGTGCAGCAGCAGATGCAAACATTCCAGCACCATTTTTCAGCCTCTCTGAACTCATCACCAACTTCAGGAACCATGGTCTTGATGAGAAGGACCTTGTTGTTCTAAGTGGAGGCCACTCCATCGGATATGCAAGTTGTGCTACCTTTAGGGCTCATATCTACAACGACTCCAACATCGATTCCGACTTTGCAAAAAATCTCAAATACATTTGCCCTACAGCTGGTGGTGACTCCAACCTTTCTCCTTTGGACTCAACTCCTGCTCAATTTGACAAAAACTACTACTCGAATTTGGTCCAAAAGAAAGGGCTTCTTCACTCTGATCAAGAACTCTTCAATGGTGGTTCCACTGATGATCTTGTCAAAGAGTACAGCTACGACACTGATGATTTCTTCGAAGATTTCGCAGATTCGATGATTAAGATGGGAAATATTCAGCCTCTCACAGGGAATCAAGGTGAAATTCGTGTTAATTGCAGGAAAGTAAACCAATGAGTGTGTATCATACATACAGAATAATTCTTGAAGGTGTGACAGTGTTGCACTAGTATGACTTATAATTTATATATGAATGTATGTCTTCTTTACCATATAATTTGTTTGTTTGAAAACGGATTCTGAAGAGGTACAACTTCTTTAGATCTCGAGTTCTTTTCAAGATTCTTCATAAATAAAGAAAGAAAAAGGTTACGCACCTTCTACCAAATATACGAATGATTACACTATAACTGCAGAGATAGAGGAACATCAAACAGTTCGATCTGTAAACAAAGATAATTCAATTTCGTTCAAAACGATTAAAGTAAAAGTGGAGAAAAGTTTATGTATGTTTACAGTTATTATTATAAAATCCGAAAGAGTGTAATTATGGGTATAATAAGATTGTGGTGAATCTAGATCATGGTAAGATTACTTTTACTTGTATCTTTAGAGTGTTCACTTATAGAAGATGTTATTTTGGTATCTGCAACGCTAGTCATTTTTGCTTATTTGATTCGAAATGTATATATATATATTCATGGATAACTTATCTGTTAACACATCTTTTGATATCTATTTGAAGAACTTTGGATGTTGTTTTGTTAAAGAAAGGTATATATACTAACCTTATGTTGAATTCGGAGAAATGTCGATGCTTGAAGGTATAAGTTATAAAATTTCATCAAGGGGAATAAATCTTTATAATGCAAATGGATGTGATAGAAAATTTGCTATTCCCCAACTAATGATGGAGGGTGTTATAAGCTTTTTTGGTCATGTCAAATTTTATAAAAAATTTATCAAAAATTTCTCTAACATAACTAAGTTCTTATGCAACCTCTTAGTCAAAGATAGCCCATTCAGTTTTGATGAAGTAAACCTTTAACATTTTGAAGGTGAAGCAGATTTTCACACCATCTACTACGCAAGAAAGGTCTTAAATGTGTAACATCCCAAATTTTCTCTTACTAAAATCTATAATTAATACCAATTGTATAATTGAAACAAAACATAAGACTTTATTGAAAACTAAAAAATTAAAAGATTATCCAAATATTATTCGATATTGTTGTGTATCTTTCTCAACACCAGTATTATCATATGCTTCCTATTGGGTTATTGGGCTCTCTTCCTATGTGAATAATAGTTCCAAATAATGTGGACCATTATGTCTTACTAGGTTAAATAGAGATGGATCAGATTAGTAGGGCACATGAGAGTCATTTGAAGAGAGACAAAAGTCAAGTGAGAGAAAAAGGAAGAGAGAAAGTTATTCCCGCATAACTCTAAACCTGCATTGGTGTTTTCGTCGTTGTGAAGTCGTTCACCGTTCAATCGCGCTTATTTTTGGATAGTGGGTTCCATATATATGGTTCTTCATTCTGACCGTTCGGATCGTCAATCCGAGGTCTAGATTGGTAGAAATCAGTCCCGCACCAGCAGTCCTATTTTGGAGAATTTTCATCTTCTTTGTTCTCATTTGTAAGCATTTGTGCTTAGTTAAATTAGCTTATTGAAAATACCATTTGATATTATTATTGGAGACTCTTTTGTATCCTATTATTGATCATAGTGGATTTTTCTTTGGTCTGAACGACTCGTGGTTTTTACCCTTGTATTGAGGGATTTTCCACGTTAAAAATTGTTAGTGTCTCTTTGTGCTTTTGGATTCTATTTTTGTTCTATTTGGTTGGTTCTCTTTGCAGATTCTCGCAAGAAGGGAGATTGAATTTCAGCTGCATTATTATTCTTTTCTAAGTTGTTATATTTTTTTGGTCCTTCCCCATCACTCCCCGTATAAAACATGATCATTGTAGGTTGAAACCATAATAAAAACAGGTAAGTAAGATAACGTAAATAATAACAATAGTTTTCATCATATTGTAAGTTTAAATATATATTGCAATATAAATCATAAAACTCAAACAACATATCATACAAATAGACACAAAACATATTGTCTCACACAATCGTACAAGCACTAGTGATCTCAGCATCAAGAAACTGAGTTGTAACTTTTGCATGTAACTTACAAATACAAATGTCACTTTCCATTACTCTCCTTGAGAGCTCACCCGACGAAGTAAACAAGTGTCACTTTCCATCACTCTTCTTAAGAGCCCCGATGAAGCTCACCTCTTGTACAACAAAGCAAAATTATCCTTCAGCACCTTTCGTTGAGTCACCACACATAAGCATACATTTACATTTTCAAACAAACACATATTAACATGTCATCACAGTCCTACTAAATAACATTTACTCCACTATTTAAACTTATATAAAATACTACATCACATACAAAAAAAAAAAAAAGAATGTAAGCTCCCCTCCCTCTTACTCTTCACTTCTTCCTTCAGCCCATTTAAGACTCAACCTTTAAAACTTTATCTCTTCTTCCTTAACTTTTCGCTATTTTTATTAAAACTCTCTCCCCAGACCTTGTTCTCCCATATGTTTGTAAGCTTAATATTAATAAGGGAATACAATATTTTATTCTCAGTTATTATTATCTAAAATAATATATAACAATATATAAAAATATCTAATAATATCTAACAATATCTTAAGATATTTTTTAATTTGTAACAATATCTAGTATATAACAATATCCAAGAATATTTCCTAAAACCTAACAATATCCAATAATATATTTTCTAAACGAATAACTATTCATAAAATCTTATTTCTTAGAAAATCTTTGAAAATTAAACAAATCCTTTAAATTATACCTAATAAACAATTTCATCTTTTACTTAAAATATTTGACCATATTTATATATTTTTCTTATTATTAATATTTCTAGGATCTTAGAATGGGGCTCATTTGAGTTATGCCACGACAAAATAGGAGTTTTTGGTTATTCTGTTTGCTTTAGAGAAGTTTAGACCTTATCCATTGGTTTAAAGGAATCATTTATGGCCATAAAGTATTTGCTAATCAAACCTGACTCCAAGCCAACACTTATTATATGGGTTCTTTAGTTGTAAGAGATTGACTTAGAGATTGAGAGCATGTAGGGTAGTAAGAATGTCATAACTGATAAACTCTCTCGACTAGTGAAGGATGAAGTCACTTACAAAGAGAGAGAAATATGTGAAGCATTTTTATATGAAACTCTCAACTCAACCAAGAAAGCCCATGGTTTGCTGATATGGTTGATTTCAAAGTTGCATAAGTCCTCCCAAAACATATCACATGGCATCAAAAGAATAAATTCTTGCATGATGCAACAATAATTCATTTGGGATGACTATTTTTTATTCAAGCTCAAAGTTGATGATCTTTTGAGGTGATGTGTCACAATAGAGGAAGTTGCAAGTATCTTATAGCATTGCCACAACTTGCCATGTGGTGGACATTTTAATGGTGAAAGGACAACCACCAAGAACAACTCACTTTGTCCAACGATGCTCAAGCTCATGCTAAGAGTTGTAAAAAGTGCCAGAAGACTAAAAGTATCTCAAGAAGACATGAGATTCCATTACAAGCCATTTTAGAATGGAGATGTTTCATTGTTAGGGAATATCCATTGTTGGTTTCGCCCTTTCTTCATTTGATAATGAATACATTATGATGGTAGTGGATTATGTCAACAAATAAGTAGAGGCAGTCACTTGTCAAAAGAATGATGTGAAAACAATCATTAAGTTTCTGAAGAGAGAAATTTTCACATGGTTTAGAGTCCTTAGGGTCTTATTAGTGATAGAGGATCCCATTTTTATAATGCTCAACTTGACAAGGTCTTACAACACTATGAAGTAAGGCACAACATCGCCTCACCTTATCATCTACAAACTAATGGCCAAATTGAAATGTTAACCGGGAGATTAAGAAAATTTTAGATAAGACGTTGGCATCTTGCAGAAAGGACTAGTCAATAAAATTTGGTGATGCTTTGTGTGCATACAAAACCATGAGGAATGGACTTGCTAAGATGGATAAGGGTGTGCTAAGATGATCGAAGACTTGCATTCTTAAGTCAAGGATGATGTAGAGAGGAAGGTAGGACAATACCAAAAGTTTGCCAATAAAGGAAGGAAATAGGTCACCTTTAAAGAGGGTGATTGGATTTGGCTCCACTTGAGAAAGGAGAGGTTCCTTACTCAAAGGAAGTCCAAGTTCCACCCTAGAGCGAATGACCCTTTCCAAGTAGATAGAAAAATAAACAATAATCCTTATGAGTTAGATTTGCCCCCTAGCTATAATGTAAGTCACACTTTTGATGTGGGTGATTTTTCTCCTTTTGATGTAAGGTTTAAGAATTCGTGGCCGAATTCTCTCCAAAAAAGGGAGGATGATGAGTCCATGACTCACCATGAAGCCATAAAGGAACTTCTTAGAAGAGTGACTAAACGAATGACTAGAAGGGAGGCCTCTAACCCTACTTCTTTGTCTTCATTTTCCATTTCTTTATGTTTGTTGAATTTTCTTAAGTTGACTTTTGTTGACTTAACTTTGGTTAACTTGTTGACCAAAGTTGACTTAACTTAAGTTGACATGTTGATTTTTTTACTTGTTTGTTTTTATAGCTTAAGCTTATGCTAATGGGAAGAGAATATGACTACATGGAGTGGAGAAAGTCTTAACCTTAAAACCAATCATGTGAACACATCTTTGGAGAGAGGAAGAGCTTGAAGTTGACCTTCTAAAATGGAGGTCAATTTGTGCATATTTTGAGAGGCTTAATGATGGAAGCAGCTCCAAGCTCCAAGCTCAAGCAGCTCCACCACTCATTGCTTCGATAGCTAAGTTGCTCTTACCTTCAAATTTTTGTTTGACCGTGTTGTGCAGTGCAGTGGTTATTGTTTTCCAGATTTCATTTTTCATTTCAGTTTTAATTCAATTCGTGTTTGTTGTTGTTATACTTGTGCCTTGATTGTTCATTAGTGATTGTTGATCATTTTAATAGATGAATTTCGTTTGTTAGAGTTCAATTCAGTTTGCAATCTCAATTTCCAGTTTTGTCCAATGTCATGTGCATAATACTGTAGTTTTACATCTGTTATCATGTGTTTGAATCTGTCTAGCTTAATTTTTTCGTTTTAATTTGAGTTCAAGTACATCGATAGCCATGAATAGATCATATAAAGCAATGAGACCAAGTCTAGCTTTGATCATATGAGCTATAAGTCGTACCAGAA